GTTCCCTGCAGCCCCATACCAACAGACCCTTGCCCTGCCACTGTGGTGTTCTGGACCCTTTTCTATCAGAACCAGCATTAACTGTTTCAAGCAGTTTGAGGCTAACAGTAGCTTCGTCTGTTGATCGAACCACACGGCCACAGCTTCGCTCCCCACGGTGCCCAATGGGACCCTCGGCGCCCATGACCCTTGTCTTCGTCTGGGTGTCTTTGTCTTCCGTTGGGAAGCCACGTGTTGATAGGTTTTACTTGACTGTCTGCAGACCGGGAGAACACACCACCAAAGAGCTGAGTGTCTGGAGATGCTTCTGACCCCAAGTCGTCCGATCACGATGATGGGCCTTTGTCAAAGCGCTCACTTCAAATCCCTCCACCGCTGCACATTTTTCCTGCCCCGTCTACCCTCAACTTTCGAGGACAAATGTTCATTGGCTTGCCCCTTCGAATATTCCCACCCCCACCTGACACAGGGACCCGATGAGTAGCCAGGGATTGAGCAGTCGAGGTGTGTGTAGTGTCGGGACGGCGTGGTCGGACCGTGTCGTGCTGGCCGAGTGAAGTGGTTACAATGGGTTGGATGGTAGGTGGGGTATGTGCAATGTAGTAATGGACAGAGTTCCTGGGGGGTCTGAAGAAAGAGGGCTGACCAGAAAGGTTGGTCTTGTGGAAAGGACGCGTGCGGGATTGGTCGTAGGTGGTTAGAGGGCCAGCAGGAAGAGCTCATTGGCTTGCCAGAGTGTAAAAAACAAATACCGATGCCAGTCCTGTATGGGAGAAATTGAGACGGGTTGAAGCTGGATTGGAAGTGTATGTAGAGCTAATGGTGAACAGTTTCCTAATGAGTTTATTGGTTCGGGTGATCCGGAGTGTACCAGTCGTCTTGTCCAATACCAGCATAACTGCGTTCATTTTTCGGTAAATGGTTTGGGGTCCACCAGTTTGTAGAGTAAAATAGACAGATAAGTCACGAGGTCCGGGTGGTCGCGTCACACCTTGGGTCAGAACACTTGGGAAACAGTTTTGTAGAAAGTAAAAGTGAAGTTAGGGTTTACCCTGTACGTGGTGGAGTGTTGAACTGAAATAGAAAAGAGTGAAAAGAGGTAGGGACCTTTAGAGGGAAAAGAAGACCAAGGACACAACGTGAATAGAAAGTAGGAAATGAAAGGAATATGAGGAAACAATGTCCTTCAAGTTTGTGGAGGTCGGTGTGTGGTGAAGTTTGATTCAAATGGTGTGTCCAAGCCAACAAAGCAGCTGAAGACTGGGGATTGGGTAGTACACGGACTGGGTGAAAGTCAAATTGGCCTTTCAAAGAGGTGTATGTGTTACTGGTAAATACTGGGGTGGGTTGATATGTTAAATCCCGACAAGTGTTCCCTGGTCATGTGATGGTTTTAGAAAAAAACTGAAAACCCTACACGGAAACTAAATAAAAACCTGCGCAATTAAAAAACCAGAAAGAGGAGCGACTGTTACAAGCTTAAATCCAGTTTGGTGGTGTGGAAGTAAGAGGAGAATCTTGCGGGGAAGAGTTCAAGCCCTACCAAAGCATCACGAAGCCCGAAAGATTTGAGATTCAAATAGATGAAACTTGGAAAAGGAGACAGTTTTTTTCTCATCATTGAACCGAAGATGGGGAACAGTGGGTTGTACTGTAGGTTACAGTTGATAATACAGTTCATGACCTAGATATCGCAGTGGATGTTGTGGCAGTTTGTTTATTTTGGGATTTCGTCAGGTATTTCATAGAAGCCCTTGTATTAAATTAGATTTATACAATTACTGGTTTTTTTTCAAAGCAACCTCGAACTTAAAAGACTGACATAACAGTTGATATTGAGTCTTACTCTACTCACTAGAGCGCCGAGCAGCTAACAGCGAGCCAAGAGATTCTCGTGTGTGTTGAGCGGAGGGACCTTGCTGATAGCCAAACTTAATTATAATGAGGAGCTAATTTCAAAATCTGTCATATATGTCACAATAACTGTGTTGTGTATTGTTACTTGAAGTATCAGGTGTAATAGACACCTTTTGGTATAAAATAAAATCTAATCACCTGAGTTACCAGGGCTGGATCATGAAACAGAATGAGAATACCAAAATTCGAGGTATATCGAAGTTCACGCATATATATGTACAGCAAGTCCCGTCAACCACGTTGGTTTAACCTCATAACTTTGTGGCTGGTTGGAACTTCCTGGTTCCAGAGAAAATCTCTATCAAAACTAAAACTTGGATTTGCACTAGCTTGGTAGAGCAATTACGCTTATGCGTATATTCTGTACTAACCTTAAGTCTTGAGTATTGTTATGGGTTAGTGTCTTCACCCGATGAGCTTTAACAAACCGTATTTTTCAGTTTTGTTTTTAAACTATCTATCCTCTCGACCAAACGGTGTGCAATATGGGACTAAAATTGTAGTCGCGAACTTTCTACTAGAATAGTTAGTCACGCAGACAAGTATTCCACAGTACAATAACTCTGTGAATCTAGGGCGCAGATAGACTTACAAACAGTCTATGTATACTAGATCTATTCCCTAGACATCATTTGTGTTTAGCTATGCGCGTAATTGACAATTTTCTGAATCTATAATTTAACATACCGACTGAAAACTGAAGACATTTGTTTATGTCATATTTTTGTGCTTTTGTATTTTATTTCTATGCCTCTTGCTCACCGTTAGTATCTTGGGTGTGTGTGTGTGACCTAAACAGAGACTATAAAGGTTCTTTTTTGTTATTTCGAGTTTATAATCCCACAGTATGGATACAAATTAAAAAATAGGAGACGTCATTATCCGGGATCGTGACAGCCCTTTGTCAGTGGTTCTGGATAATGTAAGCAAAGCGCGTGACTTCTGCTGGAAACTAGGTATCACAGCTACACTGCTGATTTTGGTGCTAAGCGTCCATTTAATGTGGACTAACATTTTACGAAATGATATCATTATCTGTATGGAAGACTGGACCTGGTAACTACTCCACCTCCTTCCCGAGATGTCCTTATTAGAATAAACCATACGAAATTCAAGAGTCCTGATAATATGAGGTAATGAGATACATCATCCGTACTGTTGCTCAGTCGAAGGAAGTAATACTTTCGGTCCATAGACCTGCACTAGTAAATTGGCGGCTAGAGTAGCTTGCTCTACATGACATGACCAAATGGAAGCCTCTTTCCTGCGCTGCTTTAATATCCACTAGAATTGCCAGTGTTTTAAGACTCATCTTATCTGGTCGTTCTTACTTAGATACAGTACCCAGAAGCTCTGGTCCATTTAAATACTAGTGTTTACGATACATACTGAAATCCTATGGCAATACAAACATTTGTCTAATGTGAAGACCGAACACCTAGCAACTATGATGTGAATAACTGACTTGAATTAGTCTTGGCTTATAGCTGAGGTTTTCATTGGGGCTTCCTCGTGTCCCCGAGGGGGTGGGGATATTATTTCAGTGGCAGCAAAGTGAACACTTTCGGGGCTTTCTCAAAGTTTGATGTGTTAGAAGCAAGGAAATATATGTTGCAGCAGTGAGTAAAATAGAATTTTTTGAGTGACTTTGAAGGGCTCCACCAGTTTGTGCCCATCTCCCGTGCGAGACCGCGCGGTCGAACATGAAGATGACCCCAGAACTGCAGCTCTGATGGTGGGTGTTCAGCCCGTACAATGCATGAGTCAATATACCAGCCCATGGTTATCAATAAGCTCGTCTGTGCGTCAAAAGGAAGTGAAGAAAGTAGGATACATCGAACGAGACTTGGGGTCAGTGGGGGGCCTGTAGCGGGCAAAGTGATGCACGTTGTGGCCGCACTGACAGTGAAGGCTGGCCCGTTGTGTGTTCCGATTCCAACAGTACGCAGCGCTAGAGCATTAGTAATCAGTGCAAACTGCTGAAACACGATTAATGCCGCCACTTCGGTTTCTGATTATGAAAAGGGGTGGTGAACGCTTAAGAATAACCCGAGCCGAAGCAGCCAGTCGAGTCCAGTGCATTGGCAGTTCGTGTGGTATATGGGCCGCTGCGAGAACATTATGACCAATCCGCCGCGGGATGCCACAGGGGACACAATGTGATACCGTTGGCTAGAATGAAAGTGTATGTGCAAGTGTGTGCGTCTCAGAGTGTGGTTCTGTACAGTGAGTACATAGATCCCGATGATATCGAGAAATAAGAGCACGGTTCCTCTGAGGCTCCTCCTTAATAAAAGGGGTCACCTATCACATTAATTGCAATATTTGCCAGAGTGATATAAATCTACCCAAAATGTTTGTGAACTATTCTTTAGTGGGTTCTGGTGTCGTGTAGAACGTTGTTACCAGCAAA